GTGTGAGCTAAAGCGCAGCCTACGTGTAAACAAGTACGGTTGTAATCCAAGATGGCGGATCACGCTGTCTCTAGTAGCAATGTGACGTCACTAAGATGGGTCTATATACAAGCCATGATACAAGTTAAGCTGAATAAAAAAAGACAACCGTCTGACATTCAGGCCAACGCAGGCGAACCATGCATGCATTTCAAATCAGAACTACACTGTACATACAGATCCGTCACTCACGGCATGCATGTCTATGATGTCTAACAGGTCAACCGTGTGTGATGTCTGAAAAAAAAGAAAATCAAACGCGCCCATATTTTTTTTGGAATTTTGTTGGTAAAACCATACACTTTAAGCAAGTTAAACTGAGTTTGGGGTGTAACCAGGCATAAGACAAAACTTGGTTTCCTCGCTTAAATTCGGTACTTGAACCGAGCCTTTAAATTTGGTACCGGAACCGACCTTTAGTGAGGCATTGTTTTCAACACTCTACTGCGGGTTACTGGTAGGAATCAGTAACCACTCGGAACTGACTCCTCTATGGGTACCCGCTTCTGAAAAATATTGATACCCGGTGCGGGTACTCGATGTTGGAACCGGGTAGAACTGGGTACCCACCGGAACCGCCCAAGCTTAGTATCCAAAGCAAGATAAACGTTTGTTACGCGAATACACTACGTCTGTTTTGTCATGTGACGTACAGCCATGAGAGAATGCAATTGTGTGCGGATCGTCGAGGGATGCGATGTAAGGATGGAAGAATAAAACCTCACTTTGACAGTAATATGGGCTAAATTCTACAAAATACACAAGAACCTGGATGTTCTATACAGGTAGAATTTCATTAAGAGGTAGATTGGCTCTAGAAAGAGCAAATGGAGGTTTTCTCAGGTACAACTACATGACCATGGCAAAGCACTTTTCCAAACCCCATAGCCTTACGACACCATGTAAACCAAGTGTGCTCCAAGTCACACGAAGTAGTGACTTGGAGTTCTCAAAGTAGCTGTACCCTACCCTAACATGGCACACTTTGATTTTTTGCCTGTTGCCTCACTAACTTAGGGGAGTTTTTTACCTCAATTTCTCAAATTTCACAATATCTGAAATTTCATCACAACCTTCCAATAGCCCATAGGCCTACATGTACATTCTTGCATTTGGGACGACATTGTTACGCCCCAACTATAGCATCAGTCCCAACTGGAGTGCTATAGGGGTGTACCCACATATATAGCTATAGGCCAGAAATATGTCCCCTTAGGTCATTAATAAAAGTTATACACTCAAAATATTCAATAAAAGTATCATTATTAGAGGGTCCTGAGGAATTGATAATATGGCACTCACTGAACCTCAGACCTGGACTCGGGGCCTCCAATTCTGAGCAATTGGGATGCAATCAGGTCTGAAATTGGCACTATTTTTTACAGAGGGATATAAATGTATTTTCAAAATGGCTACTTTTCCAGGCGGTGAAATTTCCTTCATTTTAGGGGTGGTGTGCTTGGGGTGAGAATTTTTCAAAAATTCATTGGTCAACCCACTAAAAATTGAAATGAAAATGAAAGAAGACATGTGGAACATCATTTTTCTGTGCAGCCTGAACACCTGTGAGAGTTGTTGGTATTTTAAATATTTGTGAAGTATGGGCATTTATCACTGCCGTAAATGGGAATTTATCTGCTGCGGTGTACCCATAGTTGGGCCAGCCGAAGTACAGCACAGAGGTCCAGTGTGCATACGCCCAGGTTGTGCCAAAGTCATATTGTTTCCAATGTCATGTCATTGACGAAGTGCCTTATTTTAGATGAATCGTGTCAAGTGCGAAATGCATAAATTTGGATATTAAAGGTTGAGAAATTGTCTACAGAAATTGGTCAACAATAGTTGGGCCAGCCCAACTGTAGCACTACAGTTGGGACAGACGCCGGGGTTGGGGCATAACAACATCACTGAGTCTTGATTCTTCTCTCTGATTGGTCAAGTGGTGGCTGTTCTATATTTCACACGTGGAAACTCAAAGGGGCAACAGCACATGTACTGTTACGGTCTGTGGGAAAATTCTGAATTTTTGACGAAACTTGCAGCCTTTCCATCCAGCATTCTTGAAATTCCACTATTTGTGTGTGTCATGAAGCCAGCTCTTTAAATTGTCTTTATTTTACTGAGTGACATGTGTAAGTTATTTTTGCACAACTGAGTTGGTCATAGTCATTGGTCCAGTGGTCACGATCACAAAAAAGGGTCTCAGAGGTGTGCCATGGCAGTAAAATTGTGAATTGGTTTTCTGGTCCTGGGGGTTTCTGGGATTGTTGTTATCGTCTCGTGGGTCGATTGTTTCATAGGTGCATTGCAGATTGCTGCTGCATAGGGCAGAGCGTTATTGCTCTGATACAGAGCATTGGCTGTTTGGGGCATAGCCGAGATATTGCTTTTCAAAGCTAGGCCGATCCTTTGCAGCCGTAATTTGCTGTGATGGCTTGAACCAATTTCTTGGTCCATCGTGCTGTTGCAAAAGCTGCATATTCTGTAATTTGTATGCGTTCAGCCCGTAAGCAGTCACCCGAAGTGACGAGACGACTGTAGGTAATTATATTTCATTTACTGAATTATTGTACAGATTTGCATTTCCTGAATGATAACATTATCATTGAAAATTCATTGTGAATAATTGGTTGAATTTGTATGAGCATATTGAATTGTGTCCCCGATCTTATTTTGATGATGGAAACTGAGTTGAACAAGATACATGTACAGTATGCTATTGCCTTGTAGCTCTAAAAGAGTTTATGAGTCCGTCATTTGTATAGCAAATGAACAAGGAACAGAGTTGGATAAATGTCATAGATTGCGAATTTGATCATTGTAATTCTTTCTATCGACAACTTGAAACAAACGTATGTGAAACTTGTAACAATTATTTGTGCATTCCTCAACGTAGAATTGAATCGGACACTAAAATGTGAAATAAGGATTTACATAGATGGCGAACTGATGAGAGTCAAAGTCACCAGCGGTTGGTTCCCTAGCCCGCACTTGCAGTGGAAGACTAGATGAGTCTAGGAATGCCCTTGTTTTGGCTTGTTGCAGTGAGCTAAGACACTCAGAGACCACGCCTTGTTAAAGGCCACTACGGCTTTGTGACTTGCGTTAGGCTTCCCCGAGAATGTGTTTCAGGCAGGTGACAGGTGGGAGAGATAGGAACTAAACTGTGT